TTTTTTTTTTGCAAAGCACAATATGCATCTTTCTTTATCTCTTCCAAATATTGAGCATTGTCTGACTTAACTTTTGTGAGGATATCATCTTTAATTTGCTCAAGTTTTTCCTCCGAAGGAGTACAATCTGGTTTATCCGAAGCATCTTCAAGACGGAGGTACACTTGATCCCGTCACTCGGGCTCACGTTCCTCTAATGGTTTTATAGCCTCTATTTGGTTCTTTTCATAAAATTCTCGTTTATCTCTATCCGTACTATTTGAACTAAAAGTACTAACCGGTCCGGTTTTACCTGGGTAATATCTAGTTTGTAATATAGCTATTTGTAACATAACTCGATTTTTAGCTAGCTGGCAAAGTAACACTTAGACCTGATAACAATAAAAGGCTACCCCGAAAAATTTTACAATTATTTTTATTCATATTTTGTCGCTTATTTTAAACTAAAATTTATGAAAATTTACACTATTTACACTTCTAATTCAACCAGCCAGCATATGTGTATTTGTGCATTTATATAGATATATATCTATATAATTAATTATTAACCAGAGATACGTTTAAATATATATTAAATGTATTTTGGCAGCTAATAAGGCAGCTAATAAGGATTATCTATAACTGTTTAGCTTTTACTATTAGATATAATTAATTGATTATATATAATTTATTATAACTTACTTATAAATATTCGAGAAATAAATAAACGAACGAATCTAGCTAGGACAAACTTAGAAAAAATATATACAGTTATTACTAGTAGTATAAAGGCAAATGTGATTTGATTCATAAAATAAAAGGGTACTAATTGAGGCATTTTTAATTATATTATTCAGGTTAACTTGGTCTTTGTTTATATGCTTATTATTATTGTCTATATTAAAAAGACTGAGACTAAATAAATCTTTTGACTAATTATATCGTACTACACCAAACTTTAAACCATATCCTATGCGAGTTTTTTATATTAAGTAAAAACTTTTCATCTACTACACCATTACTAATAGTTTCGTCGTTTGTTACCATCAGTAATAAATCTTTTCTTCACTATAAAATTGGGGCTTGCTTGCTCAAGGAAGACTGGCGGCTGGCTTGTGTAACATACTTCTGCTTCGCTTTGCAAAGAAGCGACCATTGCTTCTGTGCAAGGCAAAAGGAGAGCATGCCTACTTCTGCATGCGACCTGACCATTGCTTCTGTGCAAGGCAAAAGGAGGAGAGCAAAGCAAGGAAGAGAACATCCCTTCCCCCTTACTGGGGTGTGTCTTAATCTAGGAAGACATCCATGTCTTCCTAGATTAAGACACTCCCCAGTAGTATGTGACCTTCGGAGCGACCATTGCTTCTGTGCAAGGCAAAAGGAGGCATTATAAGCGATTATTATCTACAATGTAAAGCAGAATAAAATAATACTTACCTCTCTTCCTTGACCACTTCTAATGTAATTAAGCATAACCACTTTTGGTGCTGACGAAGTATGCAAGCCAAAAAAAATGATAAGATATTCACTTATTAGACGTACGATTAGCATCTCTCAAGCATTTGGACAGCGTTTATTCAGAGCCATCATCAAACTCATCTTAAAAATATCGGCTGGTACACACCATTACTATATATATCGTAGTTTAACCTTAGCAAATACAATTGGTTATGCAAATTTTTTACATTAAGTGTATCTAGTTTATTTCACTTACAGTAAACAATTTAGATGTTTGCTTGTTATCTAAAGTAAGCATTTGTCTGCTATCAATTTTTAAGGCATTTTTACCTAAAACTCATCTTAAAAATATCTGGTGGTACATACCATTACTATATATATCGTAGTATAACCTTAGCAAATCCAATTGGTTATGCAAATTTTTTTACATTAAGTGTATCTAGTTTATTTCACTTATAGTAAACAATTTAGATGTTTGCTTGTTATCTAAAGTAAGCATTTGTCTGCTATCAATTTTTAAGGCATTTTTACCTAATTCAAAGGCAAACCCTAACGTCAAGGCTAAAAAAAATATCAGCATTATAACTAAACCATAAATACCATTTGCATATGCACTAACTACGTAAGGATAAACTAAAAGAATTTCTAAATCAAATAATAAAAAAAGAAGTGCAAAAATAAAGAAAGAAATACTGAATTGTGTTCTATTTTGACCTAAAAAAGAATGGAAACCACATTCAAATACACTATCTTTTTCCTGATATGGCTTATGGGGAGCCAATAATAAATTAACCGCTAAGAATATAATAGCAATTAATGGTATAAAAAAAAAAAAAAAAGTTGTACTTGTCATTTAAGCAGCATTTAGTATTAATGCTAATATATTAGTCTTACTTAATTTTTTTAAGGGGGGGACCTCCTTGCATGTTTCGGACGAAGTACAGCACAGAAGTAGGGCTCACAATTTCGTACGAAGTAAGGAAGTAAGGAAGTAAGGAAGTAAGGAAGTAAGGAGGGAGGAGCACAGAAGTATGCATCCCCAGCCCTCCTGAGGCCAAAGAACTCGCCCTATTTCGCCTATCGATCAATTATTTATCGTATGGTTGGTCATTTAAGGATTAAATAGCATTAACGCTAATATATTAGCCATACTTAATCATTCTTCCGGCATAAACATAAATAAAAGAATTATCATAGATAATGTAGATATTGTAATAGTTAAGGAACTAGATAATATAATACTATCTACTTTAAAGGTGAATTTTTTTACCGCGGAGCTTATATCCGGGTTTTCATCTCCTCCTGCTGCAAGGAAGTCATGCCTCACAACTCCATCTGCAGCAGCAAGAGAGATATTACCTTCTAATTTAAGATTTCTTATCTCATCGTTGATTTGATAATCTGGTTGATCAAAGAAAACTTGTTTGATTATATTTAAATAATAAACTGCACTAATCACACTCGTTAATATGGCCACTAAAGCCATAAAAACATAACCGCTATCTAAAGCAGCACTTAATACCATCTGTTTGGCAAAAAAACCTATAAGAGGGGGTATACCTACAAAAGAAAAAATGGTTATGGTTAAACTTAAAGCTAATACTGGATTTATATAAAAATATCCTTTTAATTGGCTTATTAACTGTATGGGTGAATATTCTTTTTCTGCCTTTACGAAGTATGCATGAGATAATTCTTTATATTCTTCCGTTTTATTTTCGTAATAAAACAGGCTAAATCCGATACTAATTAGTATAATAAACGCGTTTAAATTACTAATAGAATACTGCATTAAATAAAATATAAATGCTTGTATTGATTCGATACTATTAATACTTAAGGCTAATAATATAAACCCTACGTGTGAAATGGTACTATAAGCAAATAATCTTTTGATTCTCACTTGACTTAGACCCAAAACTGTTCCAATTATTAACGATAGTAAAGAACTAACCAATAAACTTGTAGTTCAACTAAATTCATAATTAAATAAGGAATTACTACTATAATGTACTAATTCCAGGAAAAAGATGAATATGGATATTTTAGCTACTATTGCTACGAATGTCGTTACTATGGTAGGTATTGCATCATAAACATCCGGTGATCAAAAATGAAATGGTGCTGCACTTACTTTAAATAAAAAACCTACACTTAAAATTAGTAAAGAGATATTTATATAATCTGATTTATATCCATCTAAGACTGGATTTAATTCTTTGGCTAGATCTGTTGCACCATGCGGAGTAATAGCATTTGCCAAATCACTAATGCTAGTTACAACATATATTCCATCTAAGTTCGTGGTACCCGAATTAGCATATAATAAACTAGTACCTAATAAAATAAAACAAGAACTTAAACCACCTAATAAAAAATAAGTCAGTCCAGCCCTAGTGGCTAATTCTGAATTTCGATATATTGTACTAAGTAAGTATAGTAGGGTCAGTGGATTGGTTACCCTGCCCTCCGAACCGTACGTGATAGTTTCCCATCATACGGCTCTCCATCAGATTCATTCCAAATATTGTAAGGGTTATGTAGTATAACTTCTAATTTTGGTCATGTCTGAGTAATTTAAGTCACCTTTGTGTAAAAGGTCGTGATGATACGTGCATAGAGGTATCTGCTTTCGGAGATATGTCCCCACCCATTGTGCATAGGTGCTGTTTCCAGTTCTAATTTTATTTTTCACATCCTTTACCTTTCTCAGGTGGTGCATTTCGACATTATTTGAAGTTTGGCAAACGATACATTTCTTATTTAGGCTAGATTTCGTTAATTTGGCGTATCTCGATTGTTTTAGATTGTCCTGAGGATCAGTTTGATCAATTCCGCTGTATGAGTGTTTTACTTTCAGTGTAGTGGGTATGGTCAGTTGGATCCCTGTATCAGGATCTCTTAGCAATCGACCAAACTTAGCAAATGCTTTACGTTGAGTTCTTAATTTGTGTTTAAGTGTAAGTGTAAGGGCACAGGATAAGTGCAAGAACATTATTATTTTCCTTAAACTAGTTAAGTTAGCCGCGAAGCTATAAAATGAAGTCAGTCCTTGGATACGCTGATTATAGAAACTCACTATTTCGTAATGGGAAAAGTTTACAAGATCCTTTCTGGCTGTCGCCGAAGGCATTCCGTTGGCTTTGAGAATAACGAATTTGTTTGTATTTAGCTTATTAATTAAGTTATTTACAGGAATTTCGATTCTCATCCTCATTCTATATTTGGATGGGTTACCCTGTGTATTTGTGGTTAGTCCTGCTCTTAGGCTGGATATCTTTTTGCACCAAGCTCCTAAGAAGAGAAATCCGTCTCTGCATGCAGTGATGGCTGTCTTGTCTTTATGTAATTCTAGTCCACATTTCTTTTGTAATGCTTCAGCCACTAAATGTTTGATATGTTTAGCATCATCCATTGTACCTGTGACTAGGATTACGAAGTCGTCGGCATACCTAAGATACATCAATCTCTTATAATTGGGGTCGTTAAGATCAGAACTAGGGATGTTTCTTCTTTCCTGAGCAAGACTCTTTATTTCCGCGGATCCCGGGTGGGATTTTTGGAGACGTTGTATTCTTGAGGTTAGTTTGTCGTATTCCTTGTTTCTGCTTCGTTTCTTACCCTTTTCATAGAGATCTTTAATCCTGTCCATGGTTAGGTCCAGTTCGTTTAAGACGATATTGGCTAATAATGGACTAAGGACACTTCCTTGGGGAGTTCCTTCCGTGGGTTTTATCAGTAGTGATGTCTTAGGATCTAGATATCCTGCTGTGAGGGACTTTCGAATTAATTGCAATGTCTTGTCACATTTAATACGGGATTCTATCCTGCTCATGATTACGTCATGTGGGATTTTATCGAAACACTTCGATATGTCTCCTTGTATGACTCATTGATAGGGTGATCCATTCCGATATAGTTGAAATAGTGCTTGTTGTAAGGATTTACCCGGTCTGAAACCGTAAGAGTTTTCTGAGAATTCTCTTTCTCATATTTCTTCCAGTAGTACCGTAAGGGCCTTCTGGATGATTTTCTCTCTAGGGTTTCCGACACTTAATGGTCTCAGTTCGGTTTTCCCAAGTTTAGGTATTAATACCCTCCTAGTAGGGGAGAATTTGAATTTTCCCGTATGTATTTGGGAAGCTATGTTCTCAAATCATCCGAGGTTTATACCATCAAGGGTTTCAGGTGAGATTCCTTTGGACATGTTACCAGGTTTACTTTTTATTTCTAAATAGCAAGCCTGAAGAAATGTAGGGTTAGATAAGATGTTCATTATACCATTATACTTTTTACCCGTTTTATATTTGTCCAACTCCTTGTTTGCTCACGAACTAGCGGACGTTATAGAGTCGCTGCTTATTTCTAAGTTGAGAGACTCTGCGTCTTTATTACTAGAGTCATGGTTGAAGAGAGTTGACGATTTCTGACTGCTTCCCTTTGCATGTAAATTGCTATTATGGAAGCTCCGTCCCCGCATTAAATATATATTATATTCATAGGCGGTTAGATCCCGAGGTTGCGATATGTATGTGTTTGAATTGATGGTTTTAGGACCTTGCGCGTTTTCGTCTTCAAGGTAGAAGTAAGCATAGGGTTTTTGGCAATTTCTGGTATACGGTCTACTACTAGAAACATTTAGGATCCCTATTAAATGCTGCATTATTCTGCTTAGAACATTTAGGCCAAGCTGGGCCACTCTACACGTATCAAGTTTGTTAACCTGTCCATGACCATCCCCACTTACGGAAGTATCAGATTGGGGCAGTCCATTCTTACTCCCGCATTTGTAATCTGCTATGAAATGTGTAGTGTTATTAGCATCGACACACACGATTACCCGTGGCGAGTATCCTCAAAGAAGAGAGCCAAATATACTCGATAATAATATAGAATAAATATTGTATATTATCTCCTCAACATACGCCTCACTCGGCGCACAACCATAACTTTGTAATTCTATAGAGAGGAATATAGAAACTAGATCACTACTTGATATTAAGAATACCGCCCCAGTTATAATGAAGAGTAGTATTAAAGGATATTCAATTATTTTAAACTGTTCTCCCATCTTATCTTGTATTTGGGTTCTATAATACCGTAAATTATATAAAAATAACTTACTTATTGTAGAATACTCTGGTATTCATACTCTTCTCGGGTAAAAACCGCTTAACTGTAAAATTGCCGCACTTATTAGAAATATAAAGATATGGAAATTTTGTGTCGTACTGGTTGCATGAAATAAACCACCAAATAAACCAATTCCTCTATCTAAATTGCTTATATATAAGGTATTTAAGGCAAGTATAAATGAGTAAAGTAAAACTAAAATAGCTACTCTACTGAAAAGTATAGACTTATCTCGTCTTAAAGTGACGGCGTTAGATAATAATAAAAACATGATTGAAGTAATTAACATTTAAAAGAATAAAAGAATCGAACTTTTATTTTAATAATTTAATAATTTATTAAAAATAATTTGCTTTACCATTAAGCTAATTCTTTCTAGAGTTGATTAGACAACTATAGGAGAAAAAAGGTTTTTTTTTATCTTGCCATCGTTCTGCTTCGCTGAAGAAGGTGCCATACCATACTTCTCTCCTTTTGCCTTGCACAGAAGCAATGGTCGCATACTTCTAAGGCTTACTTTACTGGGGAGGGCTGGCTCACAATTTCTTAGAAGTAGGGCTGGCTCACAACTTCGTAGTACCCTACTTCTAAGAAATTGTGAGCCAGCCCTCCCCAGTAAGCCAGTAGTATGGCATGACATCCCAGTAAAGTAAAAGAAGTATGGCAAGCAGTCAAATAACCCAACCTATTATTTGACTAATTTATATATAGTTATCCTTATTTTACTTATATAACACAAGAAGTATTGTGCTTTTGTGCTTTTGTGCTTTTGTGCTTTTGTGCTTTTGTGCTTTTGTGCTTTTGTGCTTTTGTGCTGACGAAGTATTGTGCATACTTCGTCAGCAAAAAAAAAAAAAAAAAAAAAAAAAAAAAAAAAAAAAAAAAAAAAAAAAAAANAAAAAAAAAAAAAAAAGAGGTAATAACTAGATAAACCTACCTGTAAAGCAGAGGACTAAAAATAAACCGTGAGCTGCTAAATAAATACCTTATTCAATCCCTGTAATAGTCTGACTAAATACACCTATTAAATAAACCTTCCTTATAAATAATAGGTCGCATGCATGCCTCACAATTTAATCCGCTTGGCTTAGCCAAAAAGCTTAGCATATATTAATATTTAACTATCTCTTGTACCACTTATATCCGGGTTAGTGGATCTTATCTCATCTAATCTATCCTGCGTTCGGTTTAAAGTAGCTTCATCTACATCTATATATCTATCGATAATAGAATTCACATTTTCTGCACTTACGCCGCTCGAATCCTTATCTTCTTCAAATTATAAATTTTTTACAAGATATACTTTCAGGTTAAGCTCCATATCAGCTACTCTAAGGGATCTTAAATCTTCTAGATTTGCTATCGTCATTTTTTCAGAGTCTAACTAGTTATCATATTCAAATTGAACCGCAGGATCGATAGATCTTGCAGCAGAATTTATTCCATCACCACCACCAAGACTTCTTGTTGAGCCATCCATTGTACAATATAAGGGAGATCCTGCTGCCTGCAGCAGGATTTGTTCTATCACCAGCCAGACTTGAACTTGAGCCATCCATTGTTTGATATGTTGGAAATTGTTCTTTTAATTAGGATAAAAATTTGGCAATAAAATTTACGTCAGTTAATTTAGGCTTAATTACTCCATTATCCACTTCTTCTAACATTCTTAAGGCACCATCTTCTAAATCATATTCCGGAACTAAATATGAATCAAATTCTATAAATCCTTCGTCTGCATTACAAAGATCGGGATATTGGTAACTGACGTATCATGCGTGACCTTCGGCTAACACGGACAATGGATCACTCACCTCATCTATTAAATATAGTAATTTAAAGGAAGGGAAGGCGATTAATATTAAAGCGGGTATAATAATTAATATTGATTCGATTAATGTACCCTGGTTTAGATATTTATTTGATATAGGTGATTTAACGTTACTATAATTTAGAACTATAGATAACATTATTCATCCTACTGCGAATAATACTATAACTAAATAAAACATAATATTATCGTGTAATTCGACTAACCCTTCCATTTGAGGTGTAGCACTATCCTGGAAATAATGCCCCCCCCCTTTCTACATTTTTTTTGCTTCACCTTCAACCACTTATTCATCATCACCCCTTTTATTCTTTACTATAATCCCACTATTTAACCATGAGTACATATTCCTTCACCGAGTCTCCCCCTTCTTCACCAACTGGAAAAGTTAGTGTAAAATATGCTTCAAAGTTATTCGGATATCGACCAGGTACAACATTCATTCTTCCAGGAGCAGGTACAAACTTCTCGAATTTTTCACCTGATACTCCACACAACATATTTAACGCTGCCCCTCCCTCAAGGAAGACTGGGAGTGTCTTCCTAGATTAAGACATCCCAGTAGTATGAACCAGAAGATGCACGATGGTCTCCCCTACTTCTAAGAAATTGTGAGCCCTCCCTCCTCTACTTCTAAGAAATTGTGAGCCCATTTAAAACTCCCTATTCTAACAACACAAGGAAAACTGTGTCGCCTGCCTGCCTGCCTGCCTGCCTGCCTGCCTGCCTGCCTGCCTGCCTGCCTGCCTGCCTGCCTGCCTGCCTGCCTGCCTGCGCCGGATCATATTTCATACAACACAAGGAAAACTGTGTCACCTGCGCCGGATCATATTTCTCACACTGCTTCGAAAACTATGTCGCCAGAAGCACCAGAAAACTCCGAAAAAGATACCAATGTCCTAGTTACACCAAAGGTGGTGGATTCTGAGTTGGATAAGACCTCTAATTCAAATCGCGTGTATAAGGGTAAGTTATGCCTTTATATTTACATTATTTACACTAATATTTTATCAGTGCAACCTACACTTCAATATGTCCACCCTTATTGGCGTATGGGACCCCTATGAAATAAGCCTCACCAATACAGCGGCTAAAAAGATTATGGAGAAAAGAGGAATGCAGGATCCACCACGAAATATTGAGAAAACCCGCCAAAATACCCTAAAAAAGCGTCCTCATGCTGCGGCTCTTTTAGGTAAACTAAAAAGAGTGGTAGAAGAAGATTTGAAGGAAAATTCTCAAGAAGATAACGTTTCCGGTTCGCCCAAGGTTTTATCTTGGGTAGAAAGTACTCATGTGGATATGGAGAACGAGGAAGAACGGAAAGTTACGGAATTCAGTCTTAAATTTGAATTTACTAGTTCTACATAATTAAGTCTTTTTAACATAAACATTTACTATACATTATGCCAAAAAATCACCTGTAACATTAAAACTTATTATTCTAATTAAACTTAAAGGCAATCCGCTAATTATTAAAGAATACGTAGTAACTGGACAAGATGTATACGCGTACGGCTAATACAAAATAAAAGCATATACCTACAAAAATGGGGGAGATACTTTAATTATCATAAAATAATAAAAGATTCGAACTTTTATATAACTTTTTATTGCTTATCTTTATTGCTTATAGATAATAATAGAAAAAAAATTATTTTTGCTTTACCCATTAAGCTAATTATTTTTATACTTATAACCTATTGGTTATAAGTATAAGCAGAATGATTGTATTTATACATATATTTAAGCTAATTAACTTTGTAAAGGTAAACTTACAAAGGCGTGAGGTTTAGGTGGACTACTTAAACCTCACTCTAGGCTATTATAACTTCTATTCAATAAGGTCTGATAAATATCACTGTAGAATTGTGGAGTTAATCAAGGGTACCTGCTAGCTGCTTTACCCTCAACTAATTGTAATTTAACTAAATGTAAAAACAATCATGTTGCTATTACACTAATTATACTACCAAAACTACTAATTAAATTTCAACCCGCAAATGCATCAGGGTAATCGCTTATTCGACGCGGCATTCCTTGTAGACCTAAAAAATGTTGCTTTCTATTGCAACGTACGCACTGTAAAACTATAATTTATCTTTATAACTGTATATTTTACCATCATAAGAATGCCCACTCTCAATCAAACTTTTTAATGTATAAAAGTTAACTTTAGCATATTTCAAAGCTTTAGTTATACTTTTTAATTCATCTATTAATTCATGTGAATTATTATCAAATACATAAATTGTTTTACGGTTGGACACTTCTCTAGATATTAGTAAAAAGTCTTGATACTCACCATGGGCTATAGCAGCTCTGGCTACTTTACCATCAATTTTAAAATATTTAGCCATTTCTCTACCAGATTTAAATTCTATTAATATATCATTGTCTTGATTATAAACAACAATGTGTTTTCTAAGTTGATTGTCTCCTGTTGGTTTTTCTTTATATTCAGAAAATTTCTCTACAAATAAAGGTTCAAAAGATAATAAAAGACTTGACTTATAAAGATATTTATGGTTAATATGATTCAATAATGTATTGTAATTAATCTCTAACCCTTTTAAAGCCCTGTTTATTGAAGAATAAACAATAGGATCTTTATCAGGTGAATTAACAAGATATGCAAACACTAAAAACCCAGAATAATAATTATCTACCTCTTCAGATCTATAACTTAAAGAATTAGCCGTTTTAAATGTTTTAAGAAAAACAGTTAATCTAATATAACCTTCAGAATCTTTAGATAATAATGATAATAATTTTTCGATAGTTAAAATAGCATTATCTAAATTATCCCATTGAGGATTTACCCTTGGAATAACTTTATAAGTACTATTAATAGTTGGTTTAAGTTTAATAATAGCATATTGTTCAAAAACTAAGGAAGTTTGAGGAGTAGTAATATATATAAACTCTAGTCTTCAATCTAAAGCTAAAGTTTTCGATATTTCCAATTCAGAAGCTGAATGAGGATTACGTAAGTCTTTGGTTAATTTATTATATTCCTCCATTCTTCTAACTAAGTTATTAGAACTACCTATATAAAAACGAGAAGAGTCATTTTTAGATGTTAGTTTATAAACACCTGAAACACCTAAGTATTTTAATTTAATTTCTTTACAAGCTTGTTCAAGAGAATCAAACTTAATCGATTCTTTATTATCTATATTACCATGAAAAGATAACACTTTATCAACAGAACTAGTAGAGTAAAAACGTTTTGGCATCATAATAGCCAAATTTTGTGTATGAAGACTCAAGTTATAAGAACTAGATAAAAAAATTTCAGGTGAATCTAGATTAGATAAATTAGAAGTGCTTATTAGTCACCAATAATTTGTAGATCATATCACTACCCTTCCTAAATAAATAAATAAAATATTAAAGGTGTCGGGTACCTGGCGTATGATCGTTGAAGCTCCTTTCTTAGTTATACTAAGAAAGATTGCCTGCTGATTGGTCGTAATAACTAGGTTTAAATTATACGTCTTTCCAGCAATTTGCCAAGTTTTTCAGGGTGTTAAATATATTATATTTCCCTTTTACACTACACAATTCCTACTGTAGCCCCCCAACTTGAGGGAAAAATGTCACGTTAACTCCAATGAATAGTAATCAGAAGTGAACTTTACCTAGCTTTTGATCATATTCTAATCCGAGTATTTTAGGTATTCAAAAGTATCATGCACTAAATAATGCAAATACGGCTCCCATACTTAAAACGTAGTGGAAATGCTAACATATTATATATATATATTATATAACACGCGCTACACGAAATGAAAATATTTAGTTATTATCTTTTTTTTGCTTGCGACCTGACCTGACCTGACCTGACCATTGCTTCTGTGCAAGGCAAAAGGAGGAGGAGGAGGAGGAGGAGAGCACCAGAAAAATGTAGGCTAAAGGTTTCGTAAACAAATTACATTATTAAAAAAAGCTTCATTACTTATAACTATCTTTCTAAGTATTTTCCTTAAAAGGCTTAGTTTGTAAATAATAACCTTTATATGTTAAATCTTTATCGATTCTTCTGTTAATAGTTCTAACATTTGTATAATAATACCCTGTTAATTCTTCTAAACATTCTCCCTTAGAAGGTCAAATTTTATACTCATTGGTTTCTGGATTAAAACCATAAATAGTTATACTTTTTCTACCTTTTTTCAATTCCTCTACTCCTAGTTTTCTGTCACGAGTTTTACTTGAATTGATATAAAAATTCAACAAGACATCCATATTATCAGCTAAATTTTGATAATTTAAAGGCTTTAGTGATATAATATAATCTTCACACCTTATAGCAGAATGTTCTGAAGATTCTATCAGCTCTGTCATTTGTTTAACAACTACTACATTAACTTTTAAAAAAGCAGCCAGTTTATTTGAACTAAGGAAAATAATGTCTAGTTCAAAACTATTTTTAGAATATATATAATAAGTAATTTTACCTCTTGACCTAGATCAATGAGCTTTTAATTCTGCAGAGTGATTTCTGTCTCATACAAAAGCTTCTTCACCTATTAAATTATATGAAGCATTGGCCTCACCTTTATTAACCGAAACATATAAAGATTCATATTTAGTACTAGCTACCCTATTAACATTATATTCCATTTTGTAGTTATCTAGATAACTTTGTTCTAGTACAACAAAATCTGGAAGATTATTTGAAGAATATTTAGTATATTTACCTTCTAAAGAGCCTAAACTAAGAATAGATAAATAAAAGTCATCCTGACCATATTTAAGTATAGCTCTACAAATTATACTACCTCTTCCACTTTGCAGAGTTAGATAGCTTTCTCTAAAATATTCAGTAAGTCTTAGACTTAAATTTATAGAACTACCTATATATTGTTTACCTGTAGTTTTTGAAGTCCATAGATAACACCCTCTAAAATTTTTATAGTTAAAACAAATATCGTGTCTACTTTTTAAAGGGTTTTCATAGGTAACGGATGTATCCGTAGGGAAAACAGCTAACTCTGACTTAGGTAAAGTAGAATAATAAGCTTTAGAAGAAATAATACAAACAGGTTTCTGTTTCAAATAAGTTTTTCTTGCTGATGAAATAAGGCATGCGAAGCAACTCAACCCGGCTTCCCCCCTCATTCCCTTGGGGGAAAAGAAGCAAGCCGTTTTGAGAGTTGATCTAGAGTAAGCTTTATTATGTACAGTAAACTCAAAAAAAGTTTTATTAAAAATATTTTCTAACGGCCCAACCACTACTACCATCATTGTAAGGTGAGTGAGGGCATGGCAATGCAAATATTAATACATGTGTATTTATATGGTGGACTGTATCTTTACCTGTAATAAATACTATTTATATAAGAGATATTTAGTAACAAAAGGTACTTTATATCATAAGGGATTATCATATTTAATTCAATTTATGACAAAGTTTGAATATATTTTATGCTCTATACTAAATATAGGTGAGTTTTTATATTTTCTAATCTCTATAAAGCCTTTAATTTGAGTAACTCTATAGAACTTCATATTAGAATATAATCTATTACGCATAAAATAATCATATATAAATAGCATACTATTAACGTTTTGAAATTTGAATGCGATAGATGTAAAATCTCTTCTTGACGAAGTATGAGAACCAGCCTTAGCTGAAGATTTTTTTCGTGTTACAATATAAGGTTTAGATTTTAATATAGTACTATCAAAATTTAACTTAGAAGTATATTCATTATGTTGGAATTCTAAGTTACATTCTATTCTATTACCTGCATAATTAAAAACTATACTACCATCAGTATCCACTAGCCCGGAAAAATATGGATCATATAGTTCTATATTATAATTAGCTTCCTTATAATCTATATTATATAAAAGACAAGCCTCTTTAAAAGCAGGTACTTTTAATCTAATTAAACCATTTAAATGTTTAACCAGATAGATCATATCTTCTCTAGTGGAAACTATATAGATAGAATAAGGCTTATTTTTATCCGCTCTAACTCTACCTATGTGTAAATAATCTTGTATACGACTTAATATTCTAATATCTCTATTATGTAACTTGATTCTAATTTGTTTAAGAATTTTTTTCTTGTGTTTCGCGTGCGTAGTCTTAGAAAAATCTGTTCTAATATCAAAATTACCGTCACCATCTATTATACCCGCAAATCAATTTCAAAATTTATAATCTTCAGTACCAGGTAACTGACGTGCAGTCTCTGAGAATCCTTCACAGTTTTCGGCTGATTGTGTATCCATAAGTAAGCTACTTATTGTAGTATTGTTATTTTCACTATTTAAAAGACAGGGCACTAGAAGCACTGGAAGCACTGGAGGGGTAGCCGACTGGTTAACCGGTCCTCCCTCTATAAGGCCTTCAAGGTAGGGTTTGCTAGAAACCCTTCCCTCTCCGCCTCCCTTATTCCTACTAGAATTCATACCTGCTCTTATATCGCGGATTTGATTTAAACCTTCTTCTGTGAGATGTTTCTTCTGTTCCATTATATTAGCTACTTTACAGAAATCCTCAAAATCTCTGGATTTTATAGCCATGATCGGATATTTACTAAAAAACGGTATAATTTTTTCAGTTTGATCTAAAAGTTTTCTAACCTCAAAAACAACCTCACCTCTTTTAGTAATAGAAGCTTTACCACACCCTAAATAACTCTCCAAACTTTTCATTAACAAGACATCACGACAATGTTGAGTAACAACAAAGCTTAATTGTACTTGAAATCTGATTTTACCAGAAAAAGACTTTATTAGCTTTACCATAAAACAACCTTCACCGCTAACAAAACCAGATAATCAATTAGGATTAATAATTATTGAAGTCGGCACTAACGGTCTAATTGCCGGTACAATATCTGGGAAAAGAGCCATTAAATCATCTGATAAACCATTATTAAACACAGCTTTTATTGAAATTATTTGGTTTACCCCCTCCAAAGTTAAATGCTCTTTGCCAATAATCATTTCAAACACTTGTTTAAATAAATTATAGTCAGATCATTTATGTGTAATTAAGGGGTAAGATTTAAAATGATTAATAATAATATGCAAATCTTTAATAGAACCTACCCAGTATTGAATACAATCAGATCCTCTAGTTGTAACTGTTCCAACACAAAAAAAATTACGAAGATCTTCTACTAATGATTTATCCTTTAAGTGTAAAGCTATCTTAAACACTAATTCTACAGAATAACCCGTTTTCATTTTGGAATTAGGTCTAACATTAATAAGAAAACAACCTTCAGCGTCAGTAAAGCCAGTTACAAATCAAGGATTTAATTTTTTAGTAACCTGCACAATGTCTAATGTACTATTATGAGGCAGAGAATTATTTTTTCCGACTATTCTTGGCAAGGTATGTGTAAATCTTATACCCGACTCCCTTATTTTAAAAAAGGGAAAGGGTAAAAAATTTTTTTTATTCTTTTCATCTAGTTTATAAAGATAAAACGTATTAATAAATAGTAAACAAAACACAAATGACACAGTTTCCAGCATATAGTCAGTTGCAAAATAATTTTTATTAACGGCCGGGCAAGCCAATAAATAAGAAGATAAATTATTCAGGCCCAATTGAGCTACGACGTAATAAGTCTGGTAAGACAAGGGTAAGTACTTTTTTTTTCTTACTGTGAAATAAGAAGTGAAATAAGAATACCCCTGTTCCCTTTTTATATGTTATTTACAATTTATAAGGGGATCGGACTATCTCTTTATTGATTTTAACCATTAGGTTTAAAACCAAATACACTGCGTATAGTCTCTACAGATCTAAAAAAAAAAGAATTATTTTTTAATAAACCCACGGTGTTGATTACAATACTGTCGTAGTATACTAGCATTATAGTACATATTATAACTTTCACCGTTCGTAATATATAATACATATTACGGATTAAATTTCTATTTAGTAAAAGGATATACTAAACTTAAGTTCAATCAAGCAATGTGACAACACAACACATCAATTAATAATAAACAAATAAAAAAAAACCTTTAATATCTTACACGTGAAGCATACTAGCCTAAAGATGTTTGGATTGGTGATAATGTTTAAAATTTAAATAAGACACCCCTTTGTAACCTAGTAAAGGATATTTGTAAAAATGTTCAAAAATAAGTTTCCTAGATTCCGCATTATATAAATATAAACGGTAATATTCAAAATTACCACCTTTTTTGGCTTTATCTTTAAGAATGGCGGTTTTACTATTAAAATACTGATTTATTCAAGTAAGAATATGTAATTCATCATTTTGTCCTATAGTAAATGCACTTTTTCTTAAATAACCTTTTTCATTAAAAACTAAAGAAAAATTACCTTCTGCTTCTATAAATCCCGATAGTCAGGGAGCAAAATATGTAGGTCTCTCCTTTTTAGAAAATTCAAGTAATAAATCTTTTTTGTTGCTGTATTTAGCATTTCTATTAACTAAAAATTTTTCTATATCTTTTTCTAGTAAACAATTTTTAACAAACTCTAATTGACTTTGTTTTCTAGCAGTCAGTAAAGGATATTTAGCTAAAATGATAAAAACCTTAGCTATGTCGTTTTTATTGCTCGCTATCCATGTAACATATTTATTTTTTCTTTCTATAACAACTCTACCCCCTATTACGTTTTTTATTTTATTAAGCATAATAAGATTTTCTGGTTGATTTTTTAAAGAAATAACTATTCGCACTATTATGCTATTAGATTTGTTTGAATTTAAATTACTGGTTATACTACCATCTCCTTCTAGTAAACCTACAAAAAATTGTTCTATGTATGACTTATCTTGAACACTTAAATTATCTAATTTAATCGCATCATTTGGGGTTTTAATATCCTTTTCTGTTTTATTATTAATAAGTTTATCGTGGAATGCAATATCAAGTGATGCGTTCGCTAAAACGACTCCACTTACGAATAAAAAATTACATTAATCTATTAATCTTACATAACTAAAAATATAATTGTTATAAACACTGGCTACCTTAGCATGATTTTTAATGGTAAGATGACTAATTTTCAATGCTCTACTAGCAGCCATTACTCCATCATATTTACCCATAAAGTTTTTATCGGTATCGTATACAAATATGGCTTTTTTAATGTGGCTTTGTTGGTTAATCTCTAATACTAATTTATCACGCTCTTCCAGAGAAGATATTAAAGGCGTATCTGTTATATTATAAGGTATATTACTTAAAAACCATTCACCTCTAAATATAATATTATTTTGAATAACCGACACTAGGGTAGCATGATTTGATTTAATTAATTTAGCTAAAAACCCTACTGAAGGAAAAACAACTCTTCTTTACGAAGTATGACAATTGCTTAAATGAATTATAAACATATACAGGGTAAGCTGATTTAGCCTCACTCATTCTTAATTTACTTTCTACTGAATGACTTTTATGGTAAAAAGGGTTATTTATGTTTCACAAGCCGGTTAAAGCTTTGGCAATTAAAGATTTAGTGGAATCAGAATGTGTTCTATTTTTAGCTAATTCAGATAGTAATTTCTTAGTTTCTTCTGTGTGTTTATAACCTAAAGAAGAATAACCTTGTTTTAATACATTATAATAAGGCATAAGCCTTGTAATATAATAAGTTTCTCTAATGGTTAAAGATTCCGTTTCAACATACTCCAAAATTAAAAGAGTAAAATTTGATTGGTCATATTTAAGTAAAGCTTTTACTACGAAGTATGGCATATTAAAACTCTGTTTACTTTTCAAAAAACTATTATTAAGATAATTTCTCATTCTAGAAGCTAAATTTATAGAGCTTCCTACATAAGTATGATCATTTATGTTGTTTATTAAAAAATAAACTCCTGATTTCTCCTTTTCTTCTTTTAATATTTGAATTCTATCTTTTTTTAAGTTATAAACTTTTACAGGTTTTAATTTTTGTATTGTATCTTGTAAATAATAAATATTGGCAGAGTATGAGCAAGAATTAGAAAAACTTAAGTAGTAAAGATTTAAATGGATTAATGTAATTTTTATTACACGGACTATATCTTCTCATAATAATTTATGAGGACCACGTTTAGCCTCTGAGGTACCTACTAAAACATTATTAAAAAAGAATGTCTGTTGGTTACCTGCTGATTGTTCAAAATTATACATTTTTACTGGTATTAATCCATAAATTCCTAGTAGCATAATTGTCAGAAGGTCCCAGCATATGGTGGTCTTTAAAGGGAGAGCCAAGTGGTTTGATAACCCTCCTATTGTGAACATAAATACGAAACCTAAAGCAAATAACATTGATGGTGTTAATTTTAAAGATCCTCCGTAACATGTAGCTAATCAAGAGAAAATTTTAATACCCGTAGGTACTGCAATTATTAAGGTAGCGGCGGTGAAATATGCTCTTGTCTATTATAGATACCCCCCCCCTAACCTGTATTACTGAAATTATACCTATTTATATTAAGAGCGAGGGCGGATTTTGTATAATAAATCACGCGTCATAAAAGTAAAAAATCTATCCCCGACCTTCGGAGAGTACGAGTAATTAACAATTCACCCTGTAAATGATGAGATGGTTTCATTTCCAATCTATACAAACTATCATTTCATGCCATAACACGGTTTCTAAACTCAATCCGCTCATTTGGAGTTAAAGTATTTTCGCCTCAACTATCCATATAATACGCTTTATGACTATGAGTTCTACTTATCACCATTTGGTTATAACATTTAGTGTATAATGAGTCCCCGGTTATGACAAGCGCTTTTGGCTTTGGCTTATTATCCCCAGAAGGTGAACCGTTATCCCCGCCACCTTCTGGTTTTTCTAAGGCTTTAGCAGCATTATTAATTCTAATTGCATCTTTAACTGGATCATAACCAGCAGTAGAATCCATATTAAATGTAGAATCTTTACTAAATATATCCTCACTTGAAATAAGATCAAACGATCCCTCCGAGAAAGGTACATATTCCAAATTAGATAATAGAATAACGTAATCTATATTAAAAATAAAAATAAAAATAATAAAAAATACAATATATATATATTTAACACCCTGGTTAATCATAAATATATCTAAATTTAAAGAATTATATAATACTTTTTCACTTGTTTTAAATAAATATAAAGTTATAATACAGATTAAACATGCCAATATCACTAGACTAGACTTGAGCCTACTTGTCTTCTATATTAACCTAGGCTTTGCTTTAAAACTAAGGTTTTAATAAATGCAGTAGAATATAAACCTAGCTGTAACATGGTATATAAGCCTAAACATTTTAAATAACTTAGTTTGGACAGTATCTTGATTTAAATTAACTTTATATTTTTTTTTTTAGATATAGCAAAGTTTAAACTGATATATGTTATTTTAAATAGTCTAAAATAGTAAGTATACGTTAAAATTTTCTATATATAAAATTAATATTTTATTTAAATCTCTTGCGTGCTTGTCTCTGAGGATCCCTTAGTTTTAATACTTATAATTTTTTTTTACTCCTTTCTTTTCTAAATGTTTTCCTTCCGTTATCATAATATAAACTTTTCTAAATTTAAGATAACTAATATATTTACCCGTAAAAAGGTTAAACCTATCAAAATAATTTATAAGACTAAAAGCTGTTTTGAAACCAGAGCTTTTATAACACCAAATGCTTGTATTATATTGTGATAGGTTACCCATTTTTAGTTCTTGATATAATAATTCTAAAGGCAGTTTATCTTTTTGTTTAATAGAAAATTCTAACCGTACACTATAACCGGTATTATGGGTTTTACTTTTTACAACGCTGATATGAAAACAACCGTCTGCTTGAGTAAAACCAGCTAATCAGTAGTTATATAAAGTTAGCTTTTTCTTTTTACAACGAGGAGGAAAAATAGTAATATTAAGATGTTCACTGTAATTATGTTTAATTAATTGATCATATTTACAATTACTGAGTAATTTACCGTTTATTAAAGATAATATATTAAGCAAACCAACTTGGTTTTTACAAATATATCTGACGGCTTTTTTATCTTTAATTTTATAAACATTACCATACCCGACACGTTTCTTTATATAGTATGCCAGCGAAGTATCTTCTTCTTTTTGCAAATAAATATAATATATAATTGTTTATAACCAACCATCTCCTTCAATTAATCCCGCTAAAAAATAGCCGAACTCATTATCAGTTAATTTTTTTTTTTTTTTTGCTGACGAAGTATGCACAACGAAGTAAGCACCGGCACATGTTCAGATATAGGTAATAAATTTAAATAACTAGTATAAGTATTATTTGTAACTGCCGTAGCTTTTGTACTAAAACTAGGGTTTCCTGCTGATTGTCTTTTAAATAAATAGATTGTTCCGAGCGCAATTAATACGAGTGGACTATTTATACAAGAGTTTTCTGCATATAGCAAGATTTTTACTGTGAACACAAGTTTATCCACATCTAATCCAACTGTATACATGTGATGCAAAAATGTTAATAGATATTCTTCATATCTACCCGCTTAGCTATATAGCTATGCGCTTATCTCTCGATAAGAATCGGACTATATCTTCATCTTTTAATTTAAATTCTAGGGATGCTTTGGCTTAGCTTTGGATCCCGTTTTTTTCGTCATACCATTGTCAATATTAATCTGTTTCTGTAATGATCTTACTTGGGTTAATCCTTGTTCAGTAAGATGTAATTTATTGGAAACCATATTATGTATGATGGATCATTTTTCCAAAGAACCGGCCTTCTTAGTAAATAAGGGAAATAATTTAAAATAAGATATTACATGATTCATGGATTTAAACCCTGTAGCTGTGTAACGATAAACGCCGTCGGTTCCGGATCTGAGAGTAACTTTACCAAACCCGAAAAGGTTTCTTATTATCAGAAGGATAGAGTTATCCTTCTGATCAACGATATAACGCATTCTTATAACATGGGCTAATGCATATCTTGCATTGCTGGTAATAGATACATTAAAACATCCTTCAGCGTCGGTGAAACCAGATAATCAAGCATCTTCTAACGTAAGTGAAACAGGACGATTAACACATAAAATAGTGTTTTGCCCTGCTGATGAAATAAAAGCGAGCCGATGATTTAAAGCTTTAACTCACAAAGATAATTGACGGATTCTATTCGTAACTGCCAGATTACCATTAAATAAAAAGGCTAATAAAAGAATATGCGAGGGATTATCTACGATTAATCTATAGAAGTCATTATTGGCACCACTTTTACCTTGTGGAAAATGTTTAACCGTACCAATACCTAGCTTTTTCTGTACGTAGTAGAGAATTGCACTTTCCTTTTGAGTAAGAACAAATCGTACTCTAGTACCGTTCGCATAAGTTTGAATCGCACCATCTCCCTCCACAAAACCAATAAATCAAGTTAATCAATCACTCGAAAGATGTTTTGCATCAACTACGTCCCAATTTTCTGAGACACCAGCTGGGGCTACAAATAGAATATTATAATACTGACGAAAAGCTGAAAAATTAAAAGATGTTTCGCGTATAGCCTCTGAAGCACTCTGTGTTTTACTCTCGGTCGAGTAGAGGGACAGATTGCCGGCTGATTGGGTATAACTAATTGAATTTTTACCGTTCAAGGTACCAATTAGCACTAAACCGTTCCAGCTTACAGCGAAATTAATTGTATTCCCTATATCACTATGGGGTGAAGCCAAAATTCAACTTCAAACAACAAAACCTAATACACCAATTGACATCATGGCATAGCTATATTTAGCATGTAAAAAAAAATACTTTTTTTTTNTCACTATGGGGTGAAGCCAAAATTCAACTTCAAACAACAAAACCTAATACACCAATTGACATCATGGCATAGCTATATTTAGCATGTAAAAAAAAATACTTTTTTTTTTGGCTGGCTGGCTGGCTGGCTGGCTGGCGAAGCATGCATGCATGCATGCATGCATGCATGCAAGCAAGCAAGCAGTAGCACTTTTTTTATTTTAATCTATTAGAATTCATCTCTGAGTTTAATAGCTTAATTTTTTTTAAACCTTCTGANATGCATGCATGCATGCATGCATGCATGCAAGCAAGCAAGCAGTAGCACTTTTTTTATTTTAATCTATTAGAATTCATCTCTGAGTTTAATAGCTTAATTTTTTTTAAACCTTCTGAAGTTAAAGGCTTTTTTAATTTAATAATAGCCATACATTCTTTAAAACAAATATAATCTTCTTGTTTTAAATTAAAAAGAGGGTATGTATCAAAATGAGGTAATATATTATTTAATATAGAAACAGTATCTTGTACTATAAAATCACACCTAGGTGTAGTTATATTAGATCTTATAGCCACTACTCCGCAATCAAAAAATTTAATAAATAATTTAAGTAATTCTATATCTTTAATGTGCTGAGCTATATGAAATCTACAATACACTTTTTCTAACAATATATAATCTTTTGCGGGTCTAACATATATAGAAAAACCCCCGTCACCCCCCACAAATCCGGATACTCATTGTGGATTTAAATTATAAGGTAATTTAACTATTGGTTTTTTTATAGGTATTATGTTAGGATAATATACCCCGACTTTTTGGGATACCCCCCTATTTATGGAAGCATAATGAGAAAGAATTATTCGAAATCCTTCTCTAGTTAAATGATCTTTATTTAAAATAAGTTTTATTACTTCTGACCATAATAAAAAATCAGCTTGTTTTTTACTGATAAGAGTATATTTTGTAAAATGTGGTATTATTACATCTTTTATATAATTAATATTAGTTACTCTATACACAGATTTTTTTTTATCTGGTCTATGATATATAGCACCTACACCAAAAAAAGACTGAATTTTATATAAAATATCTTTATCTTTTTCATGTAAATTTATTTCAAATGAAGCTTTTACTTTTCATTTTAAAGAATCTGGTATTTCTATTATAATTGAAAAACAACCTTCAGCATCTACAAACCCAGTTACCCAATTAGGGTCCAATTTTGTCTGAAGCAGCAAAACATGGTGGTTTCTTCGAAGAGATAAATTGGCTTTTAATATTTTATTTACATTTCTTAAATTCATATCATAATATATATATTTAAGTTCACTAAATACTGGACTATATCTTAGTCACCCAGTAAGGATGACTCTCTTTGTGTAGTCTCTGAGAATATCAAATAATAATACAGGTATATCTATTATATTATTGACTATCTGCTGATTGCTCATTGTAATATCTTTAAAATTGTTACTGTTATAATTATTATAACTAGTATTTAAAGTCTTAGAGGATTCCAGCATATAAAAGAGTTTTATGTAGATATTATCTAACATAGGCCTAATTTTGACCATGCCTAAATACTTTTCAATTTAATGAAAATGGACCATCTCTTTGCCAACCAAAATACGAAAAGCTATGTTCAGTATATTTATGGTTTTTATTATTCTCTATACAAGCGAGAATAAAAAAAACCCTAAACAGTAACTTATAAATTCCCGTTATTTATCTTTAACTACTACACTACTCCATTTTTTTATATAGTTTTTTCATGCTTTACCTAACACAGATTCAGATGTTGCACTGTGAGCATGCAATTTCCTTAAATAATAATACTTATTTACCATGTTTAACCTCACTAATTTTTCAGATCTGCAAGGATTAACTTTAAAATAGTCATTTACTAAGGAAACAATTTCATCTTTTCTAAAGCAAGTTCATTTAAAGGCATTTTGTTTAACCATGACATATATTTGACCACCATATAATTTAACTAAATCATCTAATAAAAACCTATTTTTTTGAGTTGCAGTAATAAATATTTGACCTGAAAGTTGGTTAAGGTATATACTACCGTCCGCATCAAAAAAACCCGCTAATCAGCCACTATAATAGTTTAAAGGTTCACTATCTTTTAGAAATATATTATATTTAAGACAAATTTTACCCAATTGAATTATTCTAACTGGGTTACGTATTAAACCATTAATAGCATTTATTATCTTTAATAGACCTGCTTTATGATGTAGCCTATATCTCAAATGGTTATCGCCAGCACGTAGCTTAACTGAACCACCATATCTTTGTTTAATTTGATATAAACAGTGTTTATCCCTTAATTCCATAACTATCTCCAAACTAGCATATCCTTTTTTAGATAGTTGAAAACAACCATCTCCGTCAATTAAACCAGCTAATCATTCATCAAATTTATCATGGCTTGGCTCATCCTCCTTTTTATCGTGCGTACCGGGCGCCAGGATTTTCCCTGGTTCTGTTTGCTTTATATTTAGCGCGTAGCGAGGTGTAATAGATTCTGTATTAGATTTGAGACTAATTTTGCGGGTAGATAAAAAACATTTGTATACTATATAATATAAATAAATGGATATATTTGTGCGTAGCGATGTTGACAACAAACGTATGGCCTCTGAAATTCCTACTCACATGCTTAATCAAAATTTAATAATAATTTTCGATTTAAAGTTGGTTAAACTAGATTTAACCATATTATATTCGACACTTAAAGACAGTATCAACTTAAATGTAAAGAAGAGGACAGATTTTAAGACTTTTTCTTTAATAGACCATTTATATGTATGTTCTATGAAATAAAAGTATTTATCATTTATATATGTTACAATTTCTAACTTAGAAAAACCTTTTTGGCTAAGAAGGGGTTTAAATTGCCCGTCTATTAATGCTGTTCTCCCTACATTAAATTTAATTTGATTAGCTTTAATACCACCCGTATGGAAAAGTCTATTTTTTATAGTTGTGTGCTGGGGTACCCCAGAAGCAGAGTAATATCTTTTATTTACAGAGAAAGTGGTATTACTAAAAGAGCTAGTACCCCCACCTGCTGACCCGCTCTGGTTATCTAAAGAACACGTTTTTCAGCTGGGACTTAAAGATTTAATTTTATTAACCTTCCACTCTCTATTCCTGTTAAAATCAGCCTTGATTATACGAATCTGTTCTAACCCCTCTGGAGTTAAATGAGCTTTTAATTTAATTAATTCAGCTGCTCTTCGAAGACACCAGTCAACAAAATCCAAAGATTTGACACCTAAAATAGGATTTTGTTTAAATAGGGGTACGACTATGTCTGTTATATTTTTGAATCTTAATACACGATAATCAATCGCAGCTTTCCCTGCTGACATTCTTGAATAAATCTTTCCACAATTAAAAAATTCTACTAAGCTTCTCATTAACAATTCATCACGAGTGTGCTGTGTCAATTGGAAACTTAATCGAACTTGAAAACCTAATTTATTATTTGTAGATTCTGATATATTAATCATGAAGGACCCCTCAGCCGCAGTAAAACCAGCTAATCATTGAGGATCACGTATTGGGGTATATTTAACCAAAGGTCTTTCGACTAGAGGGATATCAGGAAAGGAATTTTTTAATAAGTCAGAAAGTCCCAAATTCATCGCACCCTTAATTGCAGCTATTTTGACTAAATCGTCTTTTGTAATATGCTGTTTATTTTTAACTATAAAAAACGCGTCTTTAAACAAATCAAAATCCGCTCGTTTTTTACTTATCAGAGGATATTGATCAAAATGTTTAATAACTTTGTTTAAATCTTCTCTTGATCGTACCCTAAGATTAAAAGACTCTGGACCATCTTTAGATATTATACCTGCATCTCAGAAATTTTTAATTTGTTCTAAGAGAGGTCTATCTTTCTCATGAAGACCCAATTTGAAACTAAGTTGAACTTGCCAACCTATCTTATAAGTTTTATTTTGGACAAGGCTAATAGAAAAAGAACCTTCCCCATCCACAAAACCTGTTACTCACGCTGGTGTCAAAGATGATTCGGGATTTATCATGTTAGGGGGAAGTGTGGTTAGAGATCTTTTAAATAAATTAAAATATCTTTTAATATGGTTATCTAAAAAAATACTTTGTGCTTTGGTTATCTGCGGATTACTCCTTATTATTCAAATTTTTACTAGAATGGAATACATAGTATTGCTTATATTCCTAGTATTGAATAATAGCGAATGGCTTTTATCTGCTATAGCCAATGCACGACCATTCAGGAGCTTCCTGCATATAGTTTGTTGCGTTAATTGAAAGAATTCAATTAAAGAGCCATTTTGACCGAATACACTCTTATTAGAGCTAGCTGATATTGTGGTACTTATAATACCAAAACCTGGTATAATTAATATATAAACTTCTGGGTGCGATCTCTTTTTAGGTTTGACTATCTAAATAGAACATATATCTTTTTATAAAGATAAGCTAAAAAGAGTCGGACTATATCTTTATCACTTATTTTTTTGCTGGCTGTACTTCGTCCGAAATAAGCATGCACCGGTGCTCCGCAAAAAAAAAAACAACTATTTCCATTTACGGTTAAAATTAATTCAAGCTTTGTGTAGTACTGTATCGTCTGGTGCTTTGTGCGCTTTTATTTCCACCAGGCGATAATACTCCCCAACCAAAAATAAACGATCACGTTTAATAGATTGAGGTGGACAAACTTTAGTGTACTCCAGGAAAGCTGAAAAATTAGCCTCTGATTGTATACTTCATTTGTAGTAGCCATTTTGTGCTTTATCAAAGTAAATAGCCCCACCAAAACAAGTACTAAAGTGTATTACATCAAAATATAGTTTGTTAGTGACACTTAAAGTTAACTGGGGTTGATGGTTATTACCTTTAAAATAATAACCTATAGTCCCGTCAGCATCGAAAAACCCTGCAAACCAACCATGCTTAATGTGTAAAGTATCAGGGCTTAAAAGTTCCACATTTAGTATAGTACATACACGATTAAGTTGAACCAATCGACTACTGTGTCTAATATAGCCATTTATACGATTTATTAATTTTAACATACCTTGACGATTGTGTAAACGCCAACGAATAGCTTGAACACCACTACGAGGTTTAATAGAACCCCCTAGTTTGTTCTGGATAATACGCAGCATACGTTCATCAGCAAGAGCTACAGTTATTTCACAACTAGAATATCCTGCTTTGCTAACTTGCAAACTTCCGTCACCGTCAATAAGACCAGCTAACCATTGATTGAAACGTGTTTCTTTTGAACCACCAAAGGATATTGCGCGTGTAGTCTCTGAGGTACCTACTAGATGAGAAGAATAACTTCTATCGTTGGTTACCGGCTGATTGCACATACGGATTTTAGGGTTTTTAACCAATACGGCTAGGCTTAAGCCCAGACTTATATTATTAGTACCCATAAACTCCGCCCTTCATAAGAGGGTTCAGTCTAATTTATTTTCGTAGTAAAAATAGGTAGACTCTAGGTGATTCCAGCATATAGCGCAATTCAAATTTAAGATCTCTCCTAAAAAGGGCCATTTAAAACCAAAGAATCCATTTCTTCAAATTTAATTTATAATCAATAATATTGATTTTCTCGTATTAAACCCAGGTACCGGTAGTATAACTCCGGGCTTGTGCATAATATGTAAAAACATATTAAGGAAAAAACCGACTGTACATTAAGCATCATTTCAGACACCTACCAGTGAACCAGTCTGTAGCGGTCACTTAAATAACCGACGGTCTTTAAATGAGAAATTCATTAACCGTTGACACTAGTATTGCTAATCTTTATACTAACTTTTCCTTATTTATATCAGATGGCTTACCTCCTCCTTTGCTTTGGCTATGCTTCTTTTGCCTTGCTGTCCCCATACTTCTTCTTCTTACAGTCCAGTCGCTGGGAGGGCCCTCCCAGTAAGCGAAGTATGGGGAAAGCAAAAGAAGTATGGCCTCCCTTATAAATAATAGGTCCCATACTTCTTGCATTTGCTGGTGAAACATGCTTACTTCGTTAGGAATTGTGAGGCACTAACCTCCTCCTTGTGCATACTTCGTCCGGCTTGCTTTGCTTTGACTGGGATGTTTCATACCATGCCTCACAATTTCGGACGAAGTACAGCAAGGGGTGTGTCTTCTCAAGGAAGACTGGGTGTGTAATACGAAGTAAGGAGAGCGAAGCAGAAGTAGGCATGAGGTCAGATAACTACGTAGGTAGTACTACTAAGGTAGACCAGCCTCAATAAATGTTAAAAGACTATAAAATATTATATAGAACTTTTAACTTAAGAGTTACAAGTAGTAATAACTAAAGATTAACTAAATCTATGGTATATTAATATACTATAGTTTATATTTTGCTTTCTTTGGCAGAGCCCTCCTCCTTTTGCCTTGCACAGAAGCAATGGTCAGGTCACTTCTTTTGCCTTGCACAGAAGCAAAGCAAAGAAGCAGAAGTATGTATGACACACAAGCCCGGCTTATGCTTCTTTTGCCTTGCTGTCCCCATACAGCAAGGCAAAAGAAGTATTGTGCTTTTGTGCTTTTGTGCTTTTGTGCTTTTGTGCATACTTCGTCAGCAAAAAAAAAAAAAAAAGAGCAAGATAAAACCTATAATAAAACCAATATTTGCTAATTCAGACCTTATATATTTTTACATCTGTCTTTATAGCTTCATAACTTATAATTGTATACGTTAAACCATGACTTGTTTTCCCTTATATTTAAAAAACATTTGATTTATTTATCATTCTAGCTTTTTCTTTCATTAATAACTTTTTTAAAGGATCTAGATGGTTTTTTGCTGCAAGATCATGATGTAAATCTTTTCATAATGTATACGATATACACTTTTTGGTTAATAAAGTATATTCATTAAAATATTTAAATACATTAGGACAAGCTTTAACTCCAGCAATACGATACTCGTAAACATCTTTAACATGATGATTAGATACTATACCACCTTTGAATAATACGCAAAGTTCTTGTAAAATAACTAAGTTACTTGCGCCCTTTTGTGCTATACTAAAATTAAAACTAAATCCTTTTTTATCTCCAATTGAACAAGTAAAACAACCTTCTCCATCCGTAAAACCAGTTAATCAACTGTTATTTAAACTCGGTAGAATAGTATTATTAATATAAGTATATGGTTCTAATCTGATATTTCCTTTAGAACACCAGCAATTAAAACCCTTAATAAATAAATCTAATTTTTGGTGTTTGGTAGGTAATACAGTATTACCATTAAATATACTAATAATAATATCGATTTCTTTTTTACTTTGCGTCACATATCTACTGCATTTTATAGATTGTGAAATAACTTTACCAAAACCTAAGGTTTCTTTTATAAAATGTAGAACCCCAATATCAGTAGTTGATTGTGTAATAATAAAAGCTAAATCACCCCTACTATTTACTATAAAAGAACCTTCAGCTTCACTAAACCCAATAAATCAAGTTAAAAATTTATTGGATGGTCCTATCTGTTTAGGTAGGTATGCTTTATGCTTTTTATAAAACAAAGTAAAATTAAAATCATTAGTTGTTGAAGTATATTTGTTTACTGTACTTAATGAAATAGGTAGGCTAAATTTATTAGTATAAATTTGAACTAATAATAAAATTATAAAAAATAAAAAAAAATATTCTTTAACTATATCTTTTGAGAAAAGATGTTGGTATAAAATAGGGTCACCACCACCTGCAGCTTCAAAGAATGATGTATTGAAATTTCTATCCGTTAATCAGACATACCTCTTTAGCCAATATATAGACTGAGTTAAGGTACTTCTCCCTAAAGAATAACAATTCTCCATTTAACGGTTTACAACATATATCTGGTGGGCTGGGGCCCCAGAAGCAACCACGCATAAATTGGTTAACCTGCACCCTTTCGAGTGGGGCTTGACTATATCTTAAGCTAATTATTTGGTTTTTCATCCGGACGAAGTAGGCCGGGGAAGCATTTAACCCAAAAAAAGCCAACCAACGTTTAGTCGATGAACTGCACTCCATTACTCGTATTTATAGCGCAATGTATACCATACTTCCTAAGTAAAGCCAAAAATATTCGTATAAATTTAAGTAATGGAGCTTGGCTGCGGATTACCCATTTCCCATCCCCCAGAGGGGGAAAGGATATCAATTTAGATTTTACCATACCACGAGTCATTACCTGTGCCACAAATGTGTTACCACGTCTGCTTGGTTTAAATTGCTTTAGGGCTTTCCCGTCAATTTGATGGTTTAGCAGGAGGTTCACTCCCACAAATAGGCATATAATAAGGATTCTCAATCCCGTTAGTTTACCATAGTTATTGCCATGTTTATTGGCAAATTGGCGACATTTAATCCCTCTACTTTTACATTTTATTTAATATAGCTCTTCCTTGACAATACTCTTATGATGATCTCAATTAAAGTGAGATCTATTACTATTCATGTTTGCTTTTAGTACTCTTATTTTTTCAAAATTTACCGGATCTTTATGCAATTTATTAACATAAATATTGTATGCTATTTCTCAATCTTTAAAGTCCAAATATTTTGAACTCAATAAAGGATAAATATCTAGATAGCTAATTAAAATATGATTGCTGGCTGAATTCGAAGTATTAACCAATAATTGAACAAATTTATCTGAAAAAATTCTATTGCTTAATTTTACTTGTAAAAATTCGGCTAACTTTAACATTAACTTAGTTAAACCTTCACCACTCTTATCGGTTTTTCGTTGTGATAATTGAAAATGAAAGGCTAAATATGTTTTAGGATTTGAAGTAAATCCTTTAATAGCAAAATGGCCATCTGCATCTATAAACCCTGCTAATCAAGAATTACTATTTATTTCAGAACAATCCAGAGGTAGTTTTATAATATCCAACCCTTTAGCATTTAAATAATCTATCATAGCATAAAGAGAATTAATTTTAGGTGTTCTAAATTTACCATTAACTGTCTTCACTACATTAGTAAGACATTTAATATCCTGAATAAGTCATCTAACTATTTTTACATCTTTACGCAAATAAACTCTTCCACCAAATATACTTTGTAATAAGTCAGCGGAAGGTCTATCTTTAAGCGCAAATACTATTTCTATTTGCGCTACTCTAGTTGAACCTGAAGGAGTTATAACTTTTCCTATAGGCGGTGTATTTAAATGACCATCACCCTCGATTAACCCGGCTAAATAGTAAGCTAGATATTCATATTTATTGTTACTAGAACACTTTATTAGATTTAAATTTTCTTCTATTGGCTTAGCCAGTATACTCACAGCACGCCTAGCTTGAGTATATAAATTTAAACTTGATTGCACAGCTAATTTGTTAGGCCATAATGAAAAAAAAGAACATGCTATATAATAATTTGAGTAGCTAATGTGATAAATATTTTGTAAAAAAATAGATGGATTAAAAACCATTATAATTGCCAAAAATTTTATCTTGGTTTGCGAGACATAATCTCATGATAGTGCAACTATCTTAAAGACTTATAATTAAATATATCTTTAAAGATATATTTAATAAGTCCAGAGCAAACACGCATACACTCACGTGTATGTTGGGACCATATCTTATTTATTTAACTTGTAAAAGTTTTGTAGGTGATATAAGCATTTACACCTTTTCTGCTTCGCTAGAGAAATAGACCCATGTCCTATTTCTTTTTGAATTAAAAGAGCTAAGGGTAAATCTTTCAAATGAAATACTATTTTAATAGAAGGATAATTAAGGTTACCTTTAACAGATCTTTCAGTTTTAGGCACAAATATTGTACCGTCTCCCTCTATAAGACCTGTAAGGTAAAGAGAAAAATCTGTGTTGGATTTATTACCTTTATTTAATTAAGGATGAAGTACCATAATTTATATTATATTTTAAACTATACCCTCTTTTATAAACTCTTCGAAGACAATAACTTACACCTAAAACAATACAAGAAATAAACTCTGGCGTATAGCCTCTGAAAATCCCTATTAGGTTTAAGCTTAATAGGTTTTCTGCTGATTGTGTGAAAGATATCTTTCACAGTTTCCAGCAAATAGCCAGATTTAAAGCCGGCACAATTTATAGTTTACCGGCTAATACAGGTAATGATAATAATAACAACACAGCGGTAACTATTACCGCTCATCCGAATAAAGCTAATTTGTGTAGTTTAATCCCCGGACTTCTCATATTTAAAATAGTGGTAATAAAGTTTACTGCTCCCAGTAAACTACTTATACCTGACAAGTGTAAAGCAAATATAGCTAAATCAACACTTGGTCCACTGTGACTTTGTACACCTGATAACATGGCCATAAAATTTATCATACAAATTCTAAACCGTATCCTTCACAGAAGGTTCTGTTAAACATACATGCTCTTGCTCCTATGAAATAGCGCGACGTGCTTTGGCTTATCGTCTAATAAAAAAAAAAGATAATAGTTAAGAGATAAATTATCACTAATCGTACTATGTACTGTGTACTCTACCACCCCTGCTAAATACGGGAAGTAGGAAGCTATCCTAAAAAAAGAATTATATACCCCACCATCTCCGACCTCGGACTATGTAGATATTTAAATATATAGTGGTCCTACTCGGTAAAAACTCCTTCAACATAGCAAAATAAAACCATATAACCGCAAGTAACTAACTAACCTAACCCGCTATTTCATAGGAGCCCTCCTCCTTTTGCCTTGCACAGAAGCAATGGTCGCTCCTTTTGCCTTGCACAGAAGCATGGTCACTTCTTTTGCCTTGCACAGAAGCAAAGCACAGAAAATTAGATCGATCTTCCTTTATTCATTCCAGATTTTAGTGAAATAACCTGCTTTAACCCTTCTTCAGATAGATGTTGCTTAGCTTGGATTATTTCTGCGGCTCTTCTTTACGAAGTATGACATCAATCATTAAAGTCATGGGATTTCATTCCAAAAATATTATGTTTTTGGAAAAACGGAAGAATTTTTTCATAATTATCTAAAAACTTGTAGACCGAAAAATTAGCAATGGGATCTCTAGAAGATGCTTCTAATATTCCGCACCCAAAAAAAGAAATAAAACTTTCTAGTAATTTTTCATCCCGAGAGTGTTGAGTTATCTGGAATACCAAGTATACTTGATCTATTTTTCTATTAGGTCGTTTCACTAGCGTTATTTTGAAACAACCTTCAGCGGAGGTGAATCCAGCTATTCAGTGGTTATTAGGTACTGTTTTATTTTGCACCAAAGGTCTCATAGTAGGTATAATGTCAGGAAAATAAAGCTGTAATTCATCGGGTAAACCTAGATTAATTACAGCCTTTATTGATACAATTTTATTTAAACCCTCCTTATTTAAATGCTCTTTATTTACCATCATATTCACAACATCCTTAAATAGAATATAATCTGCTAACTTCTGAGTTATTAAAGGATATTTTTCAAAATGTGGCAATATTTGGTTAGCAATATCTTTTACAGATTCGACTCTAAATTTTACTATATCGTTTACCTCTTTTCTTATTTTACCAACCCTGAAATAAGATTGAATTTCTTGCAAAATAATCTGATCTTTTTTATGTACAGCAATTGAGAAATAAGCTTCGACTAAAAACCCTGTACGATATTTAGGGTTTTTTCTAACTCTAATAATAAATGAACCCTCTCCGTCCACAAACCCTGTGATAAATCCAGGGTGGAGAAGTGGGGCATTTACCTCCACGACAGGATTTTTAATGGAAGAATGAGACGCTACTGATGTAAATTCTCTAGATAACGGTAAGCGAATTTGGTTAGAAAGGATTTTTACTGGATAGCTTCTTTCGAAGCCCATTAGAGTACATCTTAAGCTAGGTAAATTTTTACCACGCCAACTACCGTATACTCGTTGCTCTTTTACAGTAATATTTTTATGCATTACTGATTTAGATCCGCGATTACCCATTTCGTTTTCACTCATCTTCTGACTTGTTACCTTACCAGAGTAATTACTTCTGCCACTTATAACCTTTCGATTATAGCTTGGTACCAGAAGCTTTAGGGCTTCCCCGGAGTTTGATAGTTTGTCCCACATTAATGATTTCCTAAATCATTCGGCAGGTGGATAACAAATATATTGGTAACTTATCATACGAGGTATCTCTTGCTAGCTCATGCTAGATTAAATAAGCAAAGGAGCATGCATGACCAATACCTAGCAAATGTTACACCCAATAAATCTCTTTATTGTTTGGACTATACCTTTATCTTTAAAGTTTTGGCCTACTTCGTCGGAGATTTTTCCTACTTCGTCGGAGATTTTTCCTACTTCGTCGTAACACTTCGTCGGAGATTTTTCCTACTTCGTCGTAACACTTCGTCGGAGATTTTTCCTACTTCGTCGGAGATTTTTCCTACTTCGTCGGAGATTTTTCCTACTTCGTCGAAACTTTAAAGATACTCTTCGTTTAGTCTCTGAAGAATAAATAATTAAAATTATTTATACCTGCGCATTGTCTCCATGCAATAAACGTTTTGACTCCCAGAAGTATGCGGTGCTTACTTCGTTAGCAAAACCAGAGAGTAGTTTATAACGTGTGATGGAAAACACCACTAGAAGAGTTTCACGCAATGAGAAGAGTTTTATTCCCTCTTTGTCGCCAAAGAGCAACTCCTTATCTTTAAGAGTTCAACCAGTACCTGCTCCATTTTCTATCCCACTAGCAAATAAAAATAATAATAAACTTGGTGGTAATAATCAGAAACTTATATTATTAAGTCTAGGGAATCGTTTTATTTACATTTATATAAAGGTGTTTATACATAGCTATTGATAATAATAAAACATAAAACATAATTATAGTTAAACAAATATAATTATGTTTTACTAATAGATAAAATACTTACAAAGGAGAAGAAGGACTTTTAGGTAAAGACCCTGATATTGGAGATTTTACCTCAGGTGATGTTGCACTTCGTGGTAAATTATCACTTGAGCCTGTATTATCACCTCCAGCCTCGGAAGGATTAACCAAAGTGGTACCCTCAACCGATGCAGCTGGACTATTGGGTAAAGATGCTTCCTTCGTAGAGGCACCCCTCTACGAAGGAAATTGTGAGCCGGACGAAGTACTGCATCTATTATACCATTTAAAATACCCAAGAGATCATCCATCATAAATATTAAACCTAATTCTAATAATGTTATATCAATAACTAACTTTTTATTTTCTAATATTGGGAACCATTTGTTTAAATATTACTAATACTATTTTTCAATTAGTTCTAATATAGGAATTTTACAAGTGAAAGTTATAATTACCTAAATAGCTTAGTAAATATAAATAAGTACTTTAGTACTCATACGGACTATGTCTTCATCCTTTATACAGTTTAATTGTATAAAGGAGCCACGCGTGTAGTCTCTGAGGATCCTACTTATAATTTTACTTAAAAATTACTTTCGTTTCCTGCATATTCTTCCCATGTATACATAAGTGTTACTACTAATTCAGTTGAAAATACAACTTTAGAAGCATATAGCTCCAATTAGGTGTCTATGTATCTGTTAACTGGTATTATAAATACCATATTCGAGAGATTCCATGCATATAGCGTAGTTATAATAAAAAAGTTTTCACTTTTTCACGGCATTCCCTCTTTAGGTAAAAAACTTATAATTTGTTTAAGTGGTCTCAATTAAAAGATATTCTATTTCTATTCATATTACTTTTTAACAAATCTATACTAATTTGGTTTTCAATATTTAAATGCAAATTTTTTATAAATAATTCTGCTGCTCTTCTTTACGAAGTATGACATCAATCTTTATAGTCTAAAAATTTAGAAGAAAATAATGGAAAAACACTTAAATAAGATATAATAATAAAGATTTTTTCTTTAAAAAAAAAGAAGCTGTAATAGTATAGTATTCTCTACCTGTAGCTAATTGTTTTCTAGTTAGAAGACTACAACCTAAAAATTTAGATATATCTAAAAGTATAGAATGATAACTAACATTGGTTATAGGATCTAACATTCTTTGTTCAATTCTTAATCTACAAG